GAAGGAAGAACAGACGGTGCGACATACTCGTCCTCCTTGAGATGGCATGGTGGAAGGTGGACGTGGCTCGCGAAAAGATCCGAGTAGAAGTCGTGGATGACCTTCTCCATTGATCTTCGGGAAGCAGTTATGGTTCCGTCAGGACGACGAAGTGCGGTCATCTTTGTCTTGAAGTTGACGAAGCTTCGGCGGGCGTTACGTATACTTCTTCCAGCCTCCGCGGCGTCAACCATCACTGCTACTCTTCTCTCCTTAAGGTCTTCTTTTATCGCTTCTCTGCATCGCTTCGCAAGCTCGGACGTCAGTCGGTAGTTGCCTGTGGCTCGTGCGCGTCCACGTTGGCGTATCAGCTCCAAAGTCCCCGTGGTGAGACGCCTTCTCGTACTTCTTAGACTCTGAGCTTCCTTGGCACAACCGTGGAGATGTTGTACGAACCGTTCGTATTCTTCGATGTTGTCCATCACGGTATCTCGCCATGAGCCGGATATCGAAGAAAACAGATCCCAGTTGGTGGTATTCATGGGACGATGTTTCCTGAACTTGACGGCTCTCTCTCCATTCCGCGGAAAGTAGAATTTGGCGCGCAGGAGACGATGGTCTGATCCCGTGTAGAACTTCGGAACAACAGCGACGTCCGTCAGGCAGTACCTTCTGTTGACGATGATGTGGTCAATCTCGTTATGGTACTCTCCACCGGGCGATTCCCAGGTCCAGCGTAGGGAAGAGGGCTTTTGGAACTGTGAGTTTCCATGGATAGTCCTCGTCGTCATGATAAACTCGGACAGTCTCTATCCTTGTTCGTTCCACTGCAAACCATGGGTTCCGATGTGAAGTTCCTCAGTCGACCTTCTAGTTCCGATCTTCGCGTTGAAATCACCGACGATGATCTTGTAGAAGGTATGATCTTCTCTGTAGAACTTCTCCAAGTCCATATAAAATTCCTCGAGTTCGTCCTCGTCGTAGCTGGATGTTGGGGCGTACGCAATGAAGACGGTCAAGGCAGGGATTGATCCACATCTTGATATTCGCAAACGTCCGATTCGAGTTGTAAGTTGTTCGAACGAATCGATGTTCATGGCCAAACTCGTGTTGACAAGGACTCCCACTCCAACTACTCCTCGACTGTCGCATGTTCCTAGAAACAGTTCTTCTCCAGTCTCAAATGTGGCGTTCAGCGGGTGGTGCCTCCTTGTCTCGGTCAGTCCGATGACGTCGTACTTAATCTTCCTTGCTTGCATCAAGAGATCTTCGATAGATGCGTCCGATGCCAGCGTCCTCGCGTTGTAAGTACAGATCGTCATCATAGTCCGTCTCGTTTTCGGCAGCCTAGATCGCCTTTCAAACCTTGTCCCCACTGGCGCTGCCTTACCACTGGCTCTTCCAAGATTAAAGGAGCTTTCCATATTATCACTGTGTCGAACAAGAATTTACTCGCAGGGATAGCTTGTTGGGCTCAAAACCCCCGCGAGGGACGATCGGAGCTTATTTGTTGGAGGCGACTCCGAACTCGCCTCCCCACACACCTACCCGGGAAATTAGGGCGCAAGCTTTTAGTGGAGGCAGGGAGTCCGTCCCCCGGCTCCGCTTGCTTATTAGAGCAGGCGCGGGGTCGCTTTTGGTCGGCGATTATCCCCCTATCCGCCACCTGGGGACGCCCCACGTAGCCTCGCGACTAACCGGCTGTGATCCCTCTATGAGGGAGATCCGTGGAATAACTATTTATTCGAGAAAAACCAGCTTAACTTGTTTAAACACGTTAAGCGCATAGGAGTACAAAAATCTAAAAAACTGGTTCAAACAATTCAAGCGTGATTATTTTGCACAAATTATGCGTAACGTCGAGCTTTAACTCACTAAAACTCCGAAAGCATCCTTGTTTTTGGTACAGTTGCTTGTTTCTTGACTTTACCCAAATAGGCTGCAAATAGCAGGTCAGAAGAATCTCAAGGCACTACAGTATAGTTCTACATTTGCTTTTTCAAATTTAACACTTCTTGCCCAAACTTTGGAAATGAAATTCTTACAAGTAGGCGAGTTGTGAGCAGACATAAACAACGGGTGAAGTAGTTTGGCAGCTATCTAGAAGCAATCAGAAGATTATGGTTTGAAAAGCTATCGTCAGAAGAAGAGAAAGTTATATCAAATGTATGTTTGAACAAATTTGTGCTTCTATGGTAGGAGATTTCAATGTCTTTGAAGAAAAACCGACAAAACTTCCCGGCCAATCTATTACAGCGTAGCTTAAGCTAAATTGCACATTGTAAAAAATATCAATTATTTCTAATGCTTGATTTGTAATCAACCACGCGACTTCATATTATGCAAATTTAAGGCAGTGAAAATGAGTGGTTTATCATTGAGTAGGTCACTACGTACGCTTTTTAGAACGATGTGTCATTCTCTCTAGGATTTTCATAGCAGGTCGGCTAGGCCTCGTCCGAAAAATCGGTTGTGACTTAATAAAAATGCCATGCCAAGCGCTAAGGAACGAAGCAGCAAATTGGCGTAGTTTGTTCTCAGTAGTAAGTGTTGCTCACTGCTCTGTATAATGCTCACAGAAACTTCAAATATGGCATTCATCTACCAATACGTGGATGAACAACGATGCAAGTGGACAACCTCTACAGAATGAGCCACTCAAAGACGCCTCGGCGCCGCTCAAGGTCTTTCTAGGTAAATCATGTGTGAATTGACCGCAACCAGCACGGATTTGAAGGTACGGATCGTTTTACGCTCTCTTCATTGAAGTGCTCTCCCCGCTTTTCTCATGTCTCTAGAATTTGACTCCTTCAGCTTTTCAAGAATACTCAAAGTTACAGTACATGGAAGGTTTTCGATAAGGCAAAGCTAACTGACACTATGGCCTTTCGAGCAGCTCTTTAACAGTTAGAAGAATAGGTGCATGGAACAAACATTGCCCAATGTGCTGGAAAGATTACACGACATACGAAAAGCAAATTCAAAGTTTTTCCACGAGCTTTCTCCATTGGGCTAAATAAGTAAGCTCAACATGTTTGCTGCTTTCAAATAGGGTGCAGCTCATAGTTATAAGGACACCCTCATACTTTGGTAGTTTCGTTTGCAGGAAGCGCAAAAAAAACTTTTGGTAGTACGTGCAAGAGCATAGCCAACAGTATAAGCGGTACAAAAATAAAATTGATGTTACTCTTAGGAATGCTTTTTGCTCCAAATGCAATTTCCAGAGGTTCACAACTGTACGACACCACACATAATTCTCCCTTTTTACTAAGAAGTGAAATTTTTCAATCAAAATTTTCTGTGAAGTTACTGACATAGTCTAAGAGATAGCTGCCAGTGAACCCAGCGCAGTTCGAACAAAAGAGCGTTACTCTTTTCAATTAAATCAGAATGCTTTTAGACTCGGTGCTCTCAGAGAACATCTCTTTTTCTGTGGTTCAAACACTCTATTCACCTTCTACCAAAAATAGAAATAAGTTGAGCTTTTTATAGATATTTGACGCTTGGGAAATTCCTGTGTACTCGTCGCATTTTCAAATAAGTTTCAACCCTACCCTAGAGCTAGCACGCCGAAACCACTGTTTTTGTTACTGCAATCACACCTTTACCTGGTTTTTCAGCCTCTAGCCCTAAAATTAGTTCCACATATACTCAACAACTTCGGCACGGGTACATCATCACGCGCACAATGCAGCTGCTTTATAGCAAATCTTTGCGCGGCAGCGTACACCCAGAATCTATGCTGCTGGGTTCGCTATGCGATGTATATGTAGGGCCCAGAAAAAGACCAACTGCGTTGGTCCAGCCTCGTAAATAAGATAGTATGATAATTAGGGATGGATTAGCGTAAGATCACATATCTGGAGCTCTAGGATATGAAGCTGCTATGAAGCTGCGATCCTCTGTTCGGCGGGGTTGTTATACCTGTGTCCCTAAAGTCAAATTTATCGGTTTATTCCCTTTCCGGCGGTTTGTACAGGTACAAAAAGGCCCTTCTCCCAGAAGATGCTCACTTGCTTATGTCGGGTCCTTCTAGCCAAGTTAAGAGACTTATCCTGAGTTTCTGAATAAAAAAGCTTACTCAAATCCTGCTCTAAAATCACAATCATTGAGATAATTATAGCCTTTCGGTCTTCAAATGCACATTCTTGTATCATGTTCAAGAAGTTTAGTGCATAATTTTTCTTGTTAATTTATGATGTGCGATGTGGATGTGACGCGGCTGTGACCCGGATGTGACGCAGCCGTGCCGCAGCCGCGTCGCACATCGAACCGACCGCCTTCGTCTTGCAGAAGCTTATACCCACACAGACAATGTATACTCTACAAGCATGCTTTGAGGCATCAAGCATAAATACCGAATAGCAGTCAGAAATCTGTCCAGCCAGGAAAAGAGCACACATGCGACATTTTTACCGGTAAAGTTGATGTTTCTTTCCCGATTTTTACAGAAGTTTCACCAACTGCAGGCCACCTGTTATACCAATTTCTATACGAAGTGAGATCTAAATTGGCTTTTTTACAAGGTGAAATTTTTTAGCTCGCCCTGAATATGCAAAAGGAAAGAACAATACTGTGTGCTTAATTTGAGTCCATGCACGCAATAGCGATCTTAGTAGACATCAGATCATCCTTCTGCTTGTGAGAGTACACCGCAAGCTACACAATGGCTCACCACGATCAGAAAATCGCTCATTCGATATCGGCGCTGCTTCTCTCTTCTTCTCTCTCTTCTCTTCTCTTCTCTTTTCTCTCTTTTCATTATAAATGCGCAAGTTTCGAAAATTCCGTATCTCGATGTAATAGCAACAGGCGCAACTTTCAAAATGATGAGTAGAGAACTTTGCTCTATTGCTGACACAATCTTTTTTGTCTTCCTCAGTCTTACAATGGAGCTAACCCATAAAGCGAGAATGGAAATCTCTAAAAAAAATTCTAATTCGACTTTAAAAGCATAGTGAATCACTGAGCAAATATTGCACCTATAAGTATTCGTAGTGAGGTCTTACACGCATTCTAGAATGTTTTCAGTCAAACATTCCGTCATTCTAATTGCACTTGTTGCTTTTTCGTTGGCTCTTAAATGCTACACAGGTACTTCCTTCAGGTCATATGCACCGCATTGATTTGAATTTTTAATCAGAGGTCCTATATCAGTTGTTTACGTAAAAGCAAAATACTTTAGGCTATACCAAGAACAAGGACAAGACTAAAGAAACAGTAGATTGCCCGACAGCGGGCTACTGTTACAAGTAAGCAATTTATATGTTTACAACTCTAGTAAAAAGACAGGTTGCACTTTGCAGGAAAACTGAGAAGTCCGGTAAAGATGATATACACACCTATGGCTGTGCTTGGACGCAGGATTGTCCTGTAAGTATCAAAGATTAGAGACATCGTCTTAGCGTAAGCATGTTTGACATGAATTCTTTGGAGCATGTGTTTTCTAGAAACTGGGTTGCACTACAGTAAACAAGATTACCAAATGCTGCTGTAATAGAGACCTCTGTAATGGATCGACACCACTGTTACTGATCATCTCATTTGCTCCATTTATTGTCGTAAGGTTCATTTTCTACTGAAGATAGCAAATCTCGAAAAAATCAAAAGTCTGTGATTAAATGGCTCCATAAATCAGACTTATATTTTCAGTTTATAATTTTTACATATCAGATTTGTTTAAAAGTTGATTATTGACCTGTTTGACGAACATATTTATTTCATTTGGTCCGTTTCTGTCGTGAATTACATTCCAGTAAATTTGCAAATCATTGCATATTTCACTGCTAGAAAGCTAGGGATAGAAAAGGCTCTTAGATCTGAGTTTGGGCTTCAAATTTACATCTTTTACATATCAGTAAAAGTATTGCTTTTCACCAACCTTACTTGTCGCAAAAATGCGAGCGGCTTACAGGCTTAATTTATCAGACACTAAACTCCTTACACATGTCCTGATTCTTAGAACACGAACTATACTGCACAAGTTCCTGATAAGGGTACCGAAGATTGCATTCCTCACCGAAACCGATCAGGAAACTTGAAGCTCTGATGTACATTATTTCGGGTGGAGTTTTCCACATCTACTTGCTATGTGGTAAAGTATCATGCCAGAAAAGAAAGAAAGAAGAACAAATGACAGTACAGTTTCTTTACAGTCGCAATGTAAGACAAAACATTTGAAGCGCCCTTAATTTGAAAATATGTATATCGGAGATGAAGAATGAAATGTTATCATTTGATTTTCAATAAACAAGTGCCAGTGTGTGATGCTTTCAAATCTTGAGCAGATCAACTGCTATACAGCTCATGCATCTAAATTTATTATGTGGAGTTGTCGATATGTGCTAACTAGACCGATTGAGTCAAGTGGATGAATGGCTGAGATCGAATTAGCAGCACAGTGAGCGAGGAAATATTGCTTTAGTGAACATGGGCCAACTACTTGTGTCATCAGTTCTCATTCGAAGATCAAGCGAGAAGAGAGCATTTGACGGTTTCGATATTTGTCGCTTATCAGATTGAATCGATGATCACGAAAGTGGTGCTGGTTCGTTGTAAGCAGAAAAACGAGAGTCGTGGCCATCATTGAAAAAGATTTCAATGATAGCGAGCTGCCTAACTCGTTATAAAATAGGTACACATCAAAGTCTTATGTCGAATTACCTTTGGTATCTGTTGGGAGTAACATTATAGTTGTTATTGTTTGCATTATTGTTGTCTAGTGTGATCTGATCTATTAGTGTTGTATTGACCTATGCGCGAGATCTGAACGCTATATAAGCCGCTCCATGCTAGCTAAGTCATACGTCTCGTCTTATCGTCGATTTTTATTCATATCCGGTCTGCTAATAATTCTATCATTCTACAAGTGTCCCGGAACCACCACGTAGCGATCAGTACTGGACGACACGCATGGAGTGGAACAAGTTGAACAAGTACTTCTTCGGGAGAGATGGCGACCAAGCCAAGCACTTCACTGGAGCAGATGTTCGCTCAGCTGATGCAGCAAAACGCTACACTCTTGAAGGCGAACCAGGAGCATCCTGAGCGGATAGTGAAACTTCTATAGCGGATGGACCATTCATTCGCCCTTACCATCGCCGACTACTCAGCGTTTTCGTCGCGACTGCCAGGCTTCAGCTACGATCCGGACAACGGTTCCACCTTCGAGAGCTGGCTGTCAAGAATCGTAGGAATTGTTCTAGCCACAATGCCAAAAAAAGACCGCTGTACCCTTCTGTCTGCGAAGCTAGACAACGTCTCACTCGCCAAGCTGAGTGGATACTTGTATCCGCAGTCACCACTGGAGTTCTCGTTTGAAAAGCTCACGAAAGTGCTGACGTTGCTGTTTGGTGAAAAGACTCGTCCCGATGCCGTTGAAATTGTCTCCACGTCATTAAGAACCCCTCAGAAGAATTCGAATCGTACGCTGTTCGACTCAACAAGATGTTATTGATGCCAAATCGGACGAAATAAAGGGGGAGGTTTTAAAGTGTCTACTATTCGTTATGGGCTTGCAGTCACCATGAGATTTGCCGATACGTGCCCGACTACTAACAAGGGAGAGTCACGAATCGAAGTGGTCAATCACTACACACTACGTACCATTAATGAGAGCTTGGGACGCTAATCTCAAATTGCTTTCCGTATTTGCAGAGCGCTCTTGGAAAAGGAGTTACGAATATTTTTGAGGCGAAAAAATGAGCCTGTCCTGGATAAAATCATTTTTTTTTCAAACTTTCTGGACGTCAAATGAAGGAAGCAGGAACTACTAATATGATAGGGAAAAGGAGTTTATTGAAAAGTGCCGCTGCTTCATCTAAAATCTAGAGACGCTGTAGCGATTGATACCGTCCCGGCCACTGGTTCATTTTCGACTCCGTAAATCGCTCACAACTTCTCTCCCAAAAGCTCTCTGCAGATGCTCAGAGCATCTGCAGGATGGGGGACACGCGGAAGGCGACAACCGGTGCAAAATGGAAGCAGTGTATCATCCGTCTCAATGACTTTCACGGATTTCTACTTGTGGCATCAAGTTATGTATCTGCCCCCGCCCCCCCCCCTCACCCCCGTAGTCCCCCTCCGTGTCACTTTGACACAGGAGAGTTTCTGATAGGCACGAAATTGGGGATTACCGCCTCCCGCAACACCCGATTTTAAATCATTGCTCCAAGCTTTCAATAACGGTATGCAGCTCGTTGTCATCTGCCTCTTCGACTTCGTGACCCTCCCTTGTAAGCAAGCTGGACGCCGAGGCCGATAGCTACTTGCTGCAGGAGCTGATCGCGGACTACAACGCGTATCAGTCCATGCAGAAGGATGCTGCCCTCACAGCATCTACGCCAATCCAAGCTGAAGTCGCTTCCCCCATCCAGAAGAAGAAGCAACGCCGACCACAGCCGCAACGTATCAGACGTTCATTTGATGGCAAGCGTACACCTGAACTACTAATATATCTTCTATTCTACAAGTTTCCTGGATCTACCACAAGTACAAGTACAAGTACAAGGCTACAACAATATCATAAATCTCGGACTTGATCTGTTATTTCCATCATCGATATGCCAATGTTGGAAACAGTTCACGAAGTTGCTTTAGCGGCGTAGTGGCTACCAATCGCACAAAAGACATAGTTGAGGACTACCAGTTAGCTTGGGTAGCACCTAACAGAAGTGATTGTTAAGCTATTTGCAAAAGAATGTCGGCTGAATCAGACCTTCTAATCAAGAAATAATCACGGTATGTAACAGGAGAACAATTTGTTAACTATCAACGGCAAGTTCTGCACATTCTTTGGTCTCAGTGAAACGTGCAGTCACAGAATTATATGGGTAGACAGTGTGGTGGAATCCCACGGTAAATGATAGACTACGACATTCTAACACGTTGGAGGCAGGGCGCCGCAATGATGAAGTGGGATGCCAAACCGTTTATGTCATATAAGCAGTCTAAACATAGAAACCTTTTATGCTGCCTCCTCTCTTTTTGACAAACTCCGATTGCTTTGGTGCACTGTACACTAACTCACCCACGAAAGCTTTGTGATCTAAGGGTAGGGCCTGGCACGCGTTGGTTTGTGGAATTTTTTGAAACGAAGTCCCCTTTGAATTCGCGAAAATTTACAGAGCCCTTTTTGAAGTAAAAGTAGTAGGGAAATTTTTATTCAATCAGCATAGCAAAACATAACGAATAACAAAAAAAGGAGTTTTGAGGTACCTAATATAATATAAAAAAGCAAAAAAACATTCTGAGTCGAATCAATTTTTGAGTATGGTACCATTTTAATGTTCAGAACGTTGGAAACCTCTTAGGCCAACCAAATCTGTGATCTCAACAATCTGGCAATGCATTTTTCGCCACATAGTTCAAAGGACACCACATGTGATTGGGGCGCGATATCTAGCAGTGCTTTGCTTAACACTATTTCTGGCTCAAAAAAAAGAGGAGAAGCAGTGGTTTGATTCGCTCTCTTCGCTATATGTTAGATTTTGGAGCGTTCTCTTCGCTCAAATCAAAAAGGTCCGAAACTTATGTGAACTTTCCGAAATTTATGCTCTGAACAACCCAGTTGGTTTGGTGCTGGTCTAGAAACCAACAAATTCGGGAACGGGTATTAGGACACATAAGTTTTTGAAATATTTTACATAATGTTGTTTGGAGTAATATTGTGTATGCATAGCTAAATTCGGTGTAATGGGATTGTTTGTGCGCTGTAAACAAGCCGTCTGTCTGTTTGGGTCTCACGTTTGAAGTTCGCGCGCTTGCCGAAGAACACGTTCAACTCGTAAAACCTGACACGTTTGTCGTTTTTTTGGTGCTTCGCCCAGGACCTTACAAAAACAATATCCCCATTGCTTCTTACCTCAGAAATGAAGTTCAGTTTGTCCCCGAGGGGGCTTACGCGACGTCGCTATTTCCGCTTCCGTCACGCAAGTCCACCCACTTGACGAAAACTGCAAGAATTTTGAGAATTTCTGCAAATTTAGGCAGCTTAGGCCGAGTAGGCTAATCTTCATGAACGGCAGAGTTGACCTTGTCCACCTGCTACATATATAAGGCGCACGGATGCAATATGCATGCATGCAGCATTACAAAGTACAGCACAGTCTCGTTTCGCAAAGAATATATTTAAAATTTAGGAATCCGTTATACTTCGCCGAAAAAAGCACAAAAGCGCCCAGAAAAGCCCAAAAAGCTCAAAAGCGGCAGAAAAAGCCGTCCCAAAAACAATATCCAGCTTGCCCCGTGCCAGCTGGTGCCAGGCCCTGGCCGGAACGCCCCCTTTGGGCAAGTTTCGACGTTGAGGCATATGTTGATTTCGCAACCGGGCCTTTTTGCTTCAGGTTCTGTCGTCTGCACTTCAAAATAATTTCAGAATTCCACCAAAAGTTCCAAGCCGGAAGAACAGAGTTCAATGTAACCTAGCAACTGTAATTTCTAATAAACTGCATGGTATATCAGCTTCTCATGCAACCCGACTATTGTGTTTTTGTATTGTTCGTTTATCTGATTCGTTCTGTCTAGTTCTTTGTCTAGTCCAAACTTTCCTTGTTTCTGATGCCGAGGGCCACGAGCATGGTTGGTCTATATCTGGTTGCTGGAAGTCAAAGCTCTGCATCTCGAAGTTTTGTTCGTTGAATACTGAGTACCTCAACGACAATGATTTTACGTCAAAATGCAGAGGTATTTTCAAAAAAAGCGTTCAGCTCTTTCTGGCGCTTCTGGTCTTTCTA